TTCCATCAGAATACTCTGTAATTCCTAGAATTGGTTCCAAAAACCCAATTAATTAACCTACTTATTAGATACTGCAAAGCAGAACCTCTACAGAGGAGTTTAACTGGTTCCAGTACCGACTTCTATGTTAAATATTGGTATTTTGGTTCAAATCTTCCATCAGAATACTCTGTAATTCCTAGAATTGGTTCCAAAAACCTAATTAATTAACCTACTTAATAAATATTGCAAAGCAGAACCTCTACAGAGGAGTTTAACTGGTTCCAGTACCGACTTCTATGTTAAATATTGGTATTTTGGTTCAAATCTTCCATCAGAATACACTGTAATTCCTAGAATTGGTTCCAAAAAACCTAATTAATTAATTATCCTACTTAATAAATATTGCAAAGCAGAACCTCTACAGAGGAGTTTAACTGGTTCCAGTACCGACTTCTATGTTAAATATTGGTATTTTGGTTCAAATCTTCCATCAGAATACTCTGTAATTCCTAGAATTGGTTCCAAAAACCTACAATAACTCCTTAATAAATACTGCAGACAATTACACATAGCAATAAAACAAACGTATTATATAAGAGACACGTAAATAGATTATAAAGAAATAATCAATAAAAAGGGTTTTTATTGGTATTTATTAGTGAATGGAGGTAGAGGTGGAGACCAACCCTAAATTACTCTGACTTTACTACCTGAACTCTAAACTAACTTAGCTTATTTATTTTTATTTCATTTTTATATTTTTTGTGTGTTGGAAATGTAATTAGAGTGTGGAGTCGAATATTTGATCGAATTTAACTTTGTATGTTGGGAATTTCGATTGTTTATTTGTTTATTTATTATTAGGATCCCCATTGCTGTGCTTTACACCCAGCTACTCTTCCTGGGGTCCACATCATTAAAAATACAGAATACAATGTAAATTCATGAACATGTTTGACAGATGACAAATATCATATACATACCAATAAGACTGAACATTCATAGAAAAGGGGAAAGTTACAATTTAACATTTAAAATGGTAACATTTT